TCTACTGGAGGTCCACCTCGTAATCCACACACCCCTCCAGCCTCGAGTGGCCCAAAAACCTCCCGCTCTCCCCTGGTGCTGGCCCTGAAGCTGTACCCTGGGCAAAGTTACCGAAACATATTCATCTGAACCCAGAATGATTGCCCATGAAAGATGTAAAAATTCTCTCTCTGCTAGTGAGCCAAAGATTCACAGGCTAGAACTGCTCAGTGAAGGCTACTGCCAAGCCAAACATGAAACCTGTTAAGCAAAAGTCACCATATAATGGCAAAAATGAGGTGATTGCTCCCGAGACTGAGCGAGTACACTGCTCGCTTCAGGCATTTCTTATTCCAGAAACAGGGCAGAGCAGACTGGAAGATTTTTTCTTTCTTCCACTTTGCCCTAGTTCCCAGCACACAGGCAGCATCTACTAGAAATCAGAAATGGTCCCTTAAATTTACAGTGCCTCTTTGAAGATATTTCCAGTCATTTTAGCATGATAGTTTTTTCCTAGAGTTGGGTTTGTGGCAGCCCTATTCAGAGGTGGTGGTCAGACTAAATCAGTGAAGGGGTCAAAGGGTGCAATCCACATAGAAAGTGAGCAAAAGACTGAAAAAGCAATTCACGAGGTAGTATTCCCACTGTAGGAAAACTGCCTATGGGAAACAGGTCCTTCTGAATTGTCAGTCCCCTTTGTGCTTGACTCACTGCATGTCTGGTGGCTTCCAAGAAGCCTATGTAGAGAAGCCAGCTCTACTACCTTCCTCCTTCTCCTCTTCTTCCTCCTGTCTCTCTGCAAGTAGAGTTTTTGACTCAGTCTTTTGGCTCACTCACTTTAACTGAACGCACCAGTGTTCTCCTACTGAAAGACGCATCTTCTCACATAAACAAGCTAAGAAATCCTTTACTTAATTTTAGCTTTCTGTGACATTGGTACACAATTTTATTTTTTAAAAATTATTTCACCAAAAAAAAGCCAATCTATGAGCCAGGTTTGGAAGAAACGTTATTTTTTTTTCAAACTGCTGTCAAGTTGGCAGGGTTAGCATTACTCCACATTATCTGCCAAAAGTTGAGAGTAAACCAGTGAAGGTCAGTAGTCAGATACTATCTCCTCGGTTTTACTACAAGTACCAATGTTTTATGCAGAGGCTGGAAAGGATTCTTTTGTAAACTTGTCAGTGTTGATAAAACATTTATTTTTGCACAGAACTTTCTTCTGCCCCCATGCTCGGGAATTATCATTTCTACCTCTCTTCTCTCTGGCCCTGAGAACAAGCAGCCCTGCTCCTCTCCCAGAGAGGTGGTTATCATTGCTTCGAAGCTAAAACAGGTATTATTATGGCCCTACATGAAGCGGTCAAGTAAAGTTTTGGTCCAAAAGTAGAAGACTCCGACCAGAAATTAAAACCATTAGTTAGTTATCAATAACAAAAATAAAGTATATTTTTAATTGGGGAAAAAAAAAGCTAAAAGGGATGTTAAACTCTAGCAGGCCTGGTTAAACTGTCAAGGCTTACAGAGTTATGCTGAAGTTTTAGATTAAGCATTTAAGGCTGGTATACAAAATTATATGTCAATTTGCTCATCTATTCCAGCTTTATGTTTAAGATTTTCCCCAGAGCTTTTGCAGTAAGCAAAGGGAAATACTGTTTGCTTTGAATCTTCATTAGTACAAGATCTGTTAGAACTGTTAGCAAAAACAGTTAATAGAGGTCCAAAGAGTTTTAGCTAACCCCCAGGTAAACATTTCAAGGATATGAAAGTGTTAGTGAAATCTCCCTTTTCTCAGCCAATTAAGAACGCCAGCAAAATCTCCTTACTAACTCAAATACCACTGAAGAAATCAGGTTTGACCAGTTCCTTAGAGTGCATGAACAGAGAAATTTGTATATAGGCAACTACAGAACGCAGGCTGACAGAACTCGCACTTAGAAGAGATGTAATCACTAAGTAGGGAAACCAGCCAGGGTTCAGTCAGAGGTGGTGCTGCTCTGACGAGACAAAACTGGAAAAATGGGAGCCCTTTTAATGCCAGCCCAAAAGGCATCTGTGATCCTCTGCAGTTGCATAGAATCATACAGAATCGTCTAAGTTGGAAAAGACCTTTAAGACCATTAAGTCCAACCATTAACCCAACACTGCTCAATCCACCACTAAATCATGTCCGCAAGTGCCACATCTGCACGTCTTTTAAATACCTCCAGGGACGGTGACTCAACCAGTTCCCTGGGCAGCCTGTTCCAATGCTTGACAACCCTTTCAGTGAAGAAATTTTTCCCAATATCCACAATCTTACAACTCTAAATGATTTGTTCTATTCAAAGCTTACTTAAGCTAAACAACTAATATTTCTTAACAAGTGTTACACAAGGAGTTGCTGGTAGGGCTGAAAAACTAATGAATTCCTCAACCTCAGACCTCCAGTCAAACCACAAAAACCTAGCTTGTGCTCAAAAGCACCACTGTACTTGTGAACTGAGGCTGTGTAAATGACAAAGACCTGCCTGAGTACAGGCTGCAAGTCGATTTTGCTTGGTCCTTGCCAAAACTCTAGCCATGCAATGTCCTCTATGCCTCTGGGAGATGGCTCCTCTTTCTGTTACTTCCCTGTTCTCTTCGTCTCGGTAAAAATACTTTGTGGGCTTTGTGAGCACCTCACTAGTTGTACAGCAATCCTGCAAGGTGACATCAATTAAATGCTTCCACAGTGCCTGGGTGCGGGACAGCACACATATAAGGGTTCAGCGTGAGCCTCTTGCCCCGAGGAGATGTCTGCAGGCGTTTCTCAAATTGGTCTCACTACCACTCTGAGGTCTACCTGGCCAGATACCCACTACAGCAAGTCATAATAACTGACTGTCTCCTCTGTTAGAGGATTACTTCCCACAGCTGCCTCTCTTCCTTCACAATGGGTTGTCTTCATCCTCATGGCTTTAACCCTGCATTTTTCAGCTGCAGGGTCACAGCACTGGCAGTGGCTTTCAGAAACTCCCTGCTGACCTTTAAACTCCTTTCTCTCACAAGAATCTCTGAACATTTCTTGTGTCCCCTTACGTGTGAAACAAACTGCCAGAAGAAAAAAAAACTGTACCACCAGAAATTCATCAGCTTTAGAATCCTTCTGTAAGGTCACCATAGGAAGAGGTCTTACGAGACGCTGCCACTAACAACAGCCAAGCCAGTAGCAAGCTCAACTTTGTTCTCATTTTCTCTGTGCAACAAGATGGATTTTGTTACCCTACAATCCCTAGCAAATGTTTCTTCTTGTTATGTATTACATCTACCATTAAGCTCTGTTTGCTAACTGGGTGTAAAACACAGTAAGTCTTAACTATGTTTACACTCCACCAAGTTTAGCAGAGACCACATCCCACGTGAAATCGTAACTGTTCTTTGCGACACCTAGGAATAACATACAGAAAATGAGTGTGTCCTACATCTTGTTTTGCATAAAATTCCTTCTACAAAATGGAAAACAGACTATTAGGTTCTGTAGCAAACGTCTGCATGGCCAGCAAACAGAGGCATTTCTGTGAAGAGCAGCTCTCTATCTGTACAAGTGCTGGCCACCCCGTAGAAGATGCTGGAACAAGGGCCTAAGCTTAGCTCACTGCCTGCAAGCTGCAGTTTCTTGCAATGAGGTGGGAAAAAAATCATTGCTTCCATGACAATGGTACAGGACTTCCAAATAAAGTGAGACGGTACGTGGAGAAGTCCTTCACACTAATTAGTGACAATCAGATACAGTCAAAACTGTTGAGGGTTTTCCTGACAGTATAAGAATCACCATTGTTTATCTTTTTTAAAATACAGTTTAGGAATGTAGTGTTTCTCTTTAATTCAAAGAAGTTGGCAGGAATGAATGCTCCTTAAAGGGTGCAGCATGATGGGAACCTAATACAAGGTAAAGTGAGAATGTTAACCAGAAACCCTTCCTGTGAAAGGTGTACTGATGAGGAAGGGGCCTGACCCCTGCACTGGAGACCTGTACCCTGTAAATGTGTGGGATTGCTGGTGGTGACCTTTATTGGCTTCCTGAATCTTATTTGCACCTTTAAGCATGTGAAGAACCTGAGACCCCAAAACCCAGGAAGAATGAACGACACACAGCTGAGCTAGTCTTTCACAGGTGGTGAATGTTTCATAGGCTGGTCCCACTCATCCAGTGAGCTGTAAAGGACATTTGTCTATTTAAATGGTGACTGCTGAGAACTGCTGGCACTGAATGAAGCTGGGGCTGTGACTTTCTGCCTGTCTGTTATGAAGTACTATTGGCAACGAAGGCACTCCAGTCAGTCACTTTATCTATGAGTTACGAGGGGTAGGATTTGTTGGCTTGGGCCTTTAGTGTTCTTGGTAAATGGGAATGCAAGAAACATCCTCAAGAAGGGAAAAGCAGGGGTGAAAGTGGAAAAGCTGCAAAGATAGAAAGCACTGCAATCACAATCTTAGGTTGTGGTCACACCTAAACCCTGAGCAAGCCTGGATCAGGCAGGGATTAAGATTGGGCTCCTCACAGGAAACCTGCCTGCTGTAGCACATGGTGCTGGGAATTGCATGGTCTCTGGACTCATCTTTGCTAGAAGAGGAAAGACTTTCCTTGTTAATGAACGCAGATTTGCAAACAGCAAACACCCTCACAAATACAAGGAAGTACAGGTGTGGGCGTGAGTGCTGTGGTTTTCTTTAAGCATGTAATTTAAATGAGATGAATGTTGCATTCTCAGCAGTCTTTGTTCTGACTTACTAAAATGTGTGAAAACTTCAAATTGCTTTGTCCCTGATAGTAACTACCATATGGCTAAAAACAAATTCCCTGTGTGGATACACCCAGAGCTACTAATCTAATATGCAACAAGTGCCAGGAGGCACTTCTGCATGCAAGCAATTGTTAACATCTAGATAGTAAGAAATTCTACAGCTCTGTTCACAAGATCAAAAGTGCTGTTTCAAAGTAAAACTGAATTATCTCTAGCCTCTGTGCATCTGGTTTTGAACAGTATTCTCTTATTATTACTGCTCTCTGTCCTGAAGTAGTTGTGTTTGATAATAACATGGCTTCTGGAACCCTTTGAGATGAAAGCAGTCCAGAACAGAGCATGTAAGTCCCTATAGAGAAAGTCGCTGACAAACAGCAATTTCCTTTGGGTAAAGAAGTTGCTCTCACATCGCTATTATTCTAGCCTGAAAGACCCATTTTAGGAAAGAGTTACAAAGTGCAATACCAAGAAGAAGAAATTCTTCACCTACCAGACGATCAGCAGAAAATACGAAGTCTCCTCTACTGGATTTCCTGAAAAAAGGTAATAATTTCTATTTTAAATTGGGGAATAATTTTAAGAACATTGCTTAAATATAATTTTAATTCAAGGACAATATATTCTCAAGGCAGTTCAGAGAAAAGTCTTCTACCATATATCCAATTTATCCCCCAGTGATTCTGCTTCGTGGGTTTCCTGCTTGGTGGTAAAGACTGAGATGCTGTGAGGTTTGCCTCTTACTCCTGGCAACGTTGCTGCACTGTACCAGTAGCAATTAAAGCATGAAAACCTAAGGATGATATTCTGTAGGCTTTCCATTGCACTACCATTCCAGCTCAGTTCCAGAACACCTCACACGCTCAGATATGCACCAACCTGCTACATTCCCTACAGCTCTGAGCAAGAGAGCTTTGCTCTGTCTGTTCCCAAGTCATCCAGAAACCTCAGGACAATGAAAATGCTGATCCCAAGTCCTGAGACTGAGTTAACACACCTGATAAGCAGGATATATATTGTATCTTATCTGGAATTAATTCATAGTGTGACTAGATTAGTGAATTTGAGACTAAAATGAGCAGGGATTAACAAGTATTCCCATGAAAACACCTCTTATTAGCTTGGGTGCAACTTTTTGCTTGTGTGACTGCACAGCTTTTGGCCCTTTCAGAAGACAGAATAAGCTTGCTTCCTCCTGCTGCATCCCGTGTAAGTATGCCATGATGAAAGTCTGAATTTTAAAAGGAGATTTTAACACCTTGCTTCACACATCAGGACCAACTCTCACTACACAAGAGTAGGGCAAATTTCCAGTTAAGGAGACAACACTTACAGTATGCTAGCCTTAAAAACGCTCAAGACAAAGCATCAACATCATAAGCAGGTACTTTTTAGTGAAATTTTCTATTAACCACAACAGGCATGCCCCTCTCTCATTTTCAAACCATGATACTCTCCTTAGATACCATAAGGAGACTTTTGCATTTAATCTCCAAGATTCTGCTACATCTTATATTTACGTAAGTCAAGAAGTTTGTCTGCTTATTTCCTGGGCAACGGTAACTTAGCTGCACTAAAAAAAAAGTTTTAAAGAGTGCCAGCCTAATCTGATTTCTTTCCTTGTGCTAATAACATATATATATTATTTTTATATATATATATTTATCATCTAACAATCATACAAACTGATTTTATTAAGATTTTTGAAGGGATTCATATTTCCATCTGTAGTATGTAAGAATGTTTTTTAAAAAGGTGTGTAGGTGGTCCATCAAGGTTCTTCCAGACTAGACTACGGCATTTCAGAAAATTTAGCCATATTTCGTGAATGGTTGGTAAGACAAACAAAACAAGCTCAAGACTGCAGTTTTGACTGCGAAGTGATCCATATTTAGAGTGAATACAATGAGTTATTAATACAGATTACTAGGCTTTAAATTAACTACGCTGTCCTTGCAGAGGGAGACAGATGTTTTTATGCACAGTTCACTGAACACCCTTAGCCAGTCCATGCCTGTTTTTTGAGGGAAGGAGTACAACAGAAAACAAGGGTGCATAAAAATGAGAGACAAATAATAATACAAATGAAAATAGACCTCTTGTACACCAGCAGCTGGAAAGCTGTGACCAGATTTCAAGCCCCACATCATATGCGAATTGCTAGGGGCCAGAAAAAAAAGGCTGATGTGAAAACACCGTAACTATTCACCTTAAATACCAGAGAGAAGTATAGAAAGTAATGATCAAAGGCAGACTGGAAACTTTTTCAGTTTCTTAATGAAGTAACAAGGCAACATCTAAAAACGCGAGGCATTAAAACCTGACTGTTGTAGCACACGGCTAACAATGCAAAACTGTGTTAAACAACATAAATTAGTTTCATTATGGAGGTACAGAAGCATGACTGATGTACAATTAAAGTCATGTGCATGTCTTAAGAGGCGAGAAGAAATGTTTTTTTGGGAATGTACTGTAATATAAGCTAACTGCAGGATTTCTTCCTGCTTTAGCACCTGGTAGGAGTTACAACCACTGACAGGGCTGTAGGCTATGTGGGTATGCGGGCCATGTCTGACATGCTTTAGTAATTCCTGCTTCTCTAGTTACCTTACGGAAGATATCCAGGGTACTGTGAAGGCAAGACTGAAAAAAGCTTCCTCCCTAAACAGAATTTGTAAAAGGCCTTTAAGAAAACTCAAGCCACTGGACAAACTGTTGCCATTAAGGGCAGATGATGTAGCTGGGAAACAGGACCACGTTCTACCAGCAGCACTTCAGTACTTACTGTACTTCAGTACTTTTCTTTTTTTTTTCTGTGCCTGGGCTGGGAAGATGCTATGTGAAAGGGATCTCACCCTTCTCCCCTGCAGTAGTCATCTTTACTCATCACAGGTGAGTTACATACTCCTGAATCATCCTACTCCGTATAGCAGTCAGCACTGCGTGTCCTACCACTTCACTGTCTTCATTTCTATACCATTCACTCAGTTCCCGAGGGAATGCAAAGCCTTAGCAGAACACAACAGAATGATCTCATGTAACAGCCACATTAACCCCTAAATACCTACATTTAAATCCTGACTGTTGTTAAATCAGGAGTTAAAATGACACTACCCATCTGAGCTAATGAACTTGCTTCCACAGAAAGCAGAGCTCAACATTACAAATTGCTGCACTACTCATTTCAGTGTCCAGATCCCTGGTTCTCATCCGTGCAGGCCAGGAATGACTTTGAGATCATAACCTCTCCATAGAAAGAGGCTGTAACTGTTTGTTCCCAAATGTTCAATACTTAAATGCATCAGCTCCCACCCCATTAGGGGTCCCAAAATTCATATCCAACACAGTGTAAAAGGCATCTGCCCATCCATTAAGCATTCGCTAGATGGAAAAGTGAACAAGCCTGAGGAAAAACGAGCAAAGCCACGCACGCTCAAGTTGAGACAATCCCCATTCTGGCACAGACCTATTTCTCATTAACTTTAACGAAGCAAAAGAAATACATGGTCATTTCAGCCTATCAGACAGCCATTACTGAGGCAGACAGCTGTCTCTGAATCCACCCCAGGACAGGACCACCAGCCACATGAAGGTGGGTTTTTTCTTTTATAAGCTGGACAGTTATTTCCATTGAAAGGCCGTGATTTCTTTCTCTGACTTCTCTCAGGAACAAGGAAAGAGCTTTCCACTTTTCTGAGCAGCTCACACTATGGACAAAATAGTCCCCAAAGTCTCTGCATCCGGCCTGAGCACCCTTAGCTCCAGGTAAGCATGCCTGATTCTAACTTGCATTGCACTGGGAGTATCTATCTCTTCCTTACTTCACAGTAATAGTCCTAAATTGACTGGGTTTTTCCTACTTTTTTTTTGTTTCTCTCCCCCAGTAGCTTGCCTTTTAATTTCTGCCCTTTTCAGGTGAATGCTGTACCTGGAATGTCCATCTTCTGCAGCTTTAAGTAATCTAATTATCCTCCTTAAGTTACGGCAGCTCTGGTTTTACCTGTTCTTTTTTTTAATCCAGAAAGAAAGATTAAGTGATAGGTATCTAATTGCCCTGTAGATGAAACAGCTCTTCCCTCTTTCCCCAAGCAGTGTATGCACTTTAAATCAGATTGTTTTGACCAGGAGCTACGTTTAGCGATATAGCTCCTTATTCACAAATATGATAATTCTTCTAACGAGTTTCTTTTAGCACTTGGTTTGGATGCTATAGTGGTCACAGAGTCACCTTAAGACAGATTACACCTGCCCAGGTGTTACTGCAACTGTTTCTTACCAGTGGGTAAGAAATCCTCTCACCCTCACAGCTGAGCACGTTTTATCATCTTTCTGAACCACAGGCACTAAAACTAGCCAGTCCGAGGTCTCTTATTTAATGAGATGCAGCTGGCTCTCTGGGCAGAACATAAAAATAATGTTTCCCACCTGTCCTTACAAACAAAGCCTACACCTGCCTTTCTGAGCAGGCTGTTGTCCAGTTTTCCTCACTGTTCGGGAAGGGAGCTTGGAATTGACAGTTACACCTCCACTGCCAAGGCAGTGTCACAATCAGAATACAGCACAGTTTGCTATCACTGCAGCTGTTATGAGTAATTCATTATTTACAAGTCTTATCCTACACTTCCCCTTACCAAAGTCTTGTACAATGAAGCTGATGCAACTCCAAAAGAATATTTTCAAAGTTAAAGTATCAGCTGCTGGTTTCTGGATAAGCTCACTACAACCAGAAACTTAATGAACGTATTTTGCAAGAGTCCAAAACCTACTTACAACAAAATAAACATAATAAACCCTAGCTGGGTACAGTAACCACATTGCTCATATTCGCCTAGATATCAGAACTATTTCCTTTTCACTAACCTCAAAACCCTTTATAGGCCATCACCAATCCTAGTTTGGATTTCCTCTTTCTCTGCTTAGCCCACTTCCAACTTCCCTTTCTGCTCTCCAGGGAAGCTGCCAGGCAGACATTCTCACCTGCAGGGATCTTTTGTGTGCTCTTGCCACAGCTGCCCTCCTTGCATGGAGACTGCACCACTCTCTGTGCTCCTGCCTGCAATGAGAGTGTGCTTTTCCACAATGCTTTGAAGAGAGGGCTGGAGCACCTCCCCTGTGAGGACAGGCTGAAAGAATTGGGGTTGTTCAGCCTGGAGAAGAGAAGGCTCCAAGGAGAGTTAATAGCAGCCTTCCAGCACCTGAAGGGGCCTACAGGAGAGATGGGGAGGGACTCTTGATCAGGGACTGGAGTGATAAGACAAGGGGTAACAGGTATAAGCTGAAAGAGGGGAGACTTAGACTAGACATTAGGAAGAAATCTTTCACTGTGAGGTGGTGAGGCAGTGGCCCAGGTTGCCCAGAGAAGCTGTGGATGCCCCATCCCTGGAGGGGTTCAAGGCCAGGCTGGATGAGGCTTTGGGCAACCTGGGCTGGTGAGAGGTGTCCCTGCCCATCGCAGGGGGTGGAACTGGATGGGCTTTAAGGTCCTTTCCAACCCAAACCATTCTATGATTAAAATAAAAAAATAGTTTAAGGTAAC